GGTGAGAGCTGGGGCCCAGGTCGGGGGTCATGCTGGGTCAGACTTCGGAGAGGTCTTGGGAAACTAGAGTGAAGACCCGGGTCAAGAGTTGAGGCGTCTTGGACTCGGACTTCCTCCGGTCCCCAGAATGTGGAGGGCGAATCGAGGCAGCGCTGCGCCGAGAGAAGGAGTTAACCGGGCAAACACTTCCGGGCCTCGTTTAGTTGAACCCTGCTTGTTTCCGGAGTTTGGGTCTCATTGGAGCCTGCCTGCCTTACATCGGCTGAAAAAGCTCGTTCTAAAGTTCCTGGGATGTTTCGTCCCGCGTGTACAGATTTCAAAGGATCCTTTTCTTGTGACCAACTTTTTGTTTTTGGGAACTCCACCCTGTTAACTCCGTTCCTGTTAAGTCCACTGAAAATGCAAGCAGGCAGTCAGACATCCAGCAGGCTTTGTGAACTTGTGGATGTCATGTTTCTGTCCGTCATTTGGTGGTTGGAGCTTAAAGTACTTCAGCTTTTAAAACTTTCTGTTGTTTGATTTCCTCTCTGCCCTTACCCTTATCCAGCAAGAACGTACAACCCTGTGAAATTCTCTACACAAAACACGATTTGCTTTTGTTGCCACCACTTTTTTATAAAATTAATTTCCTCTTGTGTGTATTTGTGAATTCCTGCATGTATGCACACCACAAGCATGCCAGGTGTCCGAACAGGCCAGAAGAGAGGTTGGATCCACTAGAGCTGGAGTTAAAGCTGTTGTAACCTGCCATGTGGGTGCTGGGAACCAAACCTAGGGCTTCTGCAAGAGCAGTCAACACTGAACCGCCGAGACATTTCTCCAGACTTACCCCCAGGCCTAAATGAACTAAAACCTAACCCAATTTATTTTCTTTTTCTGAAGCATGAGCTTTTCCTACTATTTATGTGAACTGACTTTGGGTGTATTTGAAAGTCTCAGAGCTGGTGTAAGTACACTGAGATGGTATTGACAAATGTGGATTGGTTCCTCACTGCTGCTTTCCTCTACTGTTTTAGGTGTGATTTCCCTCATTACAGCAGGGCACCGTGGAAGTGCAGACTTTCACAGGGGGTGTGGTCTCTGCTCACACAGGTGAGCTCACCTTTAGATACAATTTTGTGTGCTTATGTGAATGGAGAAACACTATGTGATAATGAGAATAGGTTAATTGTGGATTTTACTTTGGAAAACTTGAAATCTATGCATGTGTTTCCGTGGGGGTTGAAGGTGGAGGTAGAACAGTGGAGCTTCACTACCACCCCCACCCCCTGTTGGTTTTCTTTTTTAGGGGAGGGATCTCAGTCTCTAACCCAAGCTAACTGAATTCATGGCAGTCCTCCTGCCTTAGCCCCCTAAGTGCTGGGATTATAGGTATGAACCAGCACACCTGACATATCCTTCCTCCCCCTTGGTTTTTCCTAGACATGGTTTCTCTGTGAATCCCTGGCTGTCCTGGAACTCACTCTGTAGACCAGGCTGGCCTCGAACTCACAGAGATCCACCTACCTCTACTTCTGGAGTGCTGGAGTTAAAGGTGTGCTCCTCCACCACCCAGCATATTTCTTCTTTTGAAATGAGATCTCATATGACTGAGGCTGTTCTTGAATGCCTGAATTCAAACGATCCTCTTCATCTTAGTGTCCCAAATATGTTCCACCTCTTCTAGCTAAGGGAAGTACTTCCAAGTATTTGACACATAGTAAATGCTGAGGAAACATAAGCATGAGGTCTCATACTCACATGTAACCAGGGATGACCTTGAACTTCTGATCTTTCTACCTTTACCTCCCATGCTTTGAGATTGAAGGTGCATGCCACCCTGCTGGTTTTATGCTTTGATTGAAGCATAAATTATGATTATCTAGCACACATAAAACATGATGGAACCCATGTTTTATGTGTGCTAGATAATCACTCAACCACCTGAGCTACCTCCATATCCCTGGAAAGTTTTTTTTTTTTTTTTTTTTTTTGGTTTTTCGAGACAGGGTTTCTCTGTGTAGCTTTGTGCCTTTCCTGGAACTCGCTTTGGAGACCAGGCTGGCCTCAAACTCACAGAGATCTACCTGCCTCTGCCTCCCGAGCTGGAAACAGTTTTTAACCTCAGCATTTTGAAGGCTGAGGCAAGAGGATAGATAGTAAGTCCCAGGCCGGTCTGGATGGTGTAATAAGATCTATCTGTCTCAGAAAACAACTGTTTTAATAGCCTTTAATTTTATTCTTACTTTTTTTTTTTTTGTAATCCAACTATAGGTGCTCCAGAGGTTGGTGGACCTGAGCGGAGGCTGGGACGCCCTGGTGGGCCCCGGGCCCTGGAAGGCAGGTCCCGGTGGCTGGTGGCCCAGAATGAGGCCAGCTCCCAGCATGCCCTGCAGCCGGACACCAGCCCCTCGGCCTGCAGCAGTGGTGATAATAACCCAGTCATTCTTCAGGCATCCAGCAAGGAGCCTGGGAGTGGGACCATGCAGAGCAGCCCCTCCCCTGCTCACTCTCAGCTCCCAATCCTACAGACACAGGTTTGAAAGTGGGGAGGGTTCCTTCGCTTATTCTCTGTGGACTAAGGGACTAATGCTTTTGAGACAGAAGTGGTGTTGCAGGTCTTATTACCTACCTGAGTAGTTGAGTTTGGACTGTCTTTAGTTTTCAGAGAGATTGGACTGTAACATGTCAAGCCTGTTGTTAGTTAATTCTTTCTTCTACTTTTTTTTTTTAATTTGTTTTTTCAAGACAGAGTTTCTCTGTGTACTGTCCTAGAACTCACTCTGTAGACCAGGCTAGCCTTGAACTTGGATCCTTTTGTCTCTGCTTCCCAAGTGCTGGGATTAAAGGCATGTGCCATCATGCCTGGCTTTAGATACTTACTTTCTACTTCACATAATGCTGATTTCCAAGAGTGGAGATCTTGAGAGTATGGTGGTACATGCCTTTAAGCTTGGCACTCAGAGGCAGAGACAGGCAGATCTCTGTGAGATCAAGGCCAGTTTGGTCTACTTAGTGAGTCCCAGGCCAATTAAAAAGTACATGCATAGTGAGACCCTGTCTTTAAAGAAGGAAAAAAAAAGACACAGTTCTTTCTTAAAGTGGTTAAATTAGGCTAAGCTGGAAATGGAGACTAGGCAAAATGCTTTTAAGACTAGGCTTTGAGAATAGTTTACCTTCATTTGGAACTAGAACAGGATAAGCCTTAAGTGAGGCATTATTTCTTTCCTCATATTGTGGGAATGTGGAGTAGGGGGAAAGTGTGTTTTTTAAATTAATTAGTTCTACATTTGCATTTAGTAGGCTTTTCCCCCTTTTAATAAGACAGGGCTTCTTGTGGAGCTGGGGTTTAGCTTGGTTGGTACAATACTTGTCATGCACAGGGCTCAGGGTTGGGTCCTGGGTTGATTCCACCAGTACTGTATGTACAGTTGTATGGTGGCACATACTTGGAATCCCAGCTCTTTGAAAGGTAAAAGTAGGATGATAAGAATTTTGAGGTCATTCTTAGCTACATAGGGAGTTCCAGGTTCACCTGAGGTGTGTGGTAACCCTATCTAAAAAGGAAGGAGAGGGAGTTGGGAGTTTCCTTATGCACCCCAGCCTCCTGAGTCCTAGGGTTGTAAACCTGTACCACCATAGATAACTCAGTTGCTAGTTTGTTCATTTGCTGTACTGGCCTTTGAACTTCGGGCCTTGTGCATGCTAAGGCAGACTCTTTACTATTGAGCCATAGCCCTTTGGGCTTTAAATATGTTTCTGAGAGTTGAGTGCAGAGCTTTGCAGTCCTGCTAGGTAAGCACTCTGTCTTTGCTCCAGTGGATTTCATACTTAGAATTTTTTTTAGCTTCTGGGAAATTTTGATATGTAGTCTTTTACCATTTAGCTGGGGTAGGAATTTGAGGCACTCTTAGACTTCTGTTTTATAGTGAATTTCATGAGTGAGTTCATTTGCCATATTTCACTGGGACTTTTTTTTTCAAGATGGGGTTTCTCTGTGTATCCCTGGCTGTCCTGGAACTCACTCTGTAGACCAGGCTGAACTT